TCCAAGGCTTGGGCTCCTGAGTATATGAAGTAGAGCATCCTATCAACCCTCACAGAACATGTGACACGAGTGAGGAATGAACTTGCATTAAGCCATGGAGAACACATCCTGGTCCTACATGTGAAGCTTGCCATGTTATAAATGAATTAAAATATACAATTGCTAGAGTTGACTTTAATTTCTCTCTCCTAAGGAGTTTCAATGTTTTATAAAATAATAAATAAGCCAAAGTAAATAAAGTAAAGCCTTTATGTCTATCTAGAATTGATAGAAAATACAGATACAGTTTACTATTTATACACAGTCTGGAGAAGAACTAATTTAATTTTACCACTCATGTGTCAGAAACTGTTTAAACATTGACCAACATCCAATTTAATCATGACAATATTAAGTAGGTATTATTTTCCCCTATTTTTCTCAGACATGGGTAGGTTTAGGCGATTTCTTCAAGGTCAAAAATATATTAAGTAGTATATCTTAAATAAAAATAGATGTCCATCTATTTTCAAATTGTTTGCTCTTATATAACATACCATCCTTTACAAAGTAAAGAATATTATACTTTTAATCAAATATTTATTGAGATGCTAACATGGGCTAGGAGTTGTGCCAATCAAAAACACATAATGAAGCCAGCTAGATCTAAATACTATCATTTTACTAGTCATTGTTTGTTTTAAAAAATGTGACTCAAGGAAAGAAATGTAAATTCTGTATATATTTACATATACATACACACACATACCCATTTAAATATAAATAAAAATGTCCATATAATTTTTAAAGGAAATATTCCATTTGATTGACAATCTGATCTTGGCAGACAAAAATAACTGGGGAATATTCCAGGAAGAAAATCTACTATAGAGCATTCCATTGACCCTAAACACTGAATTAATGCCATAGCTAATCCATTTAAATAATACACCTGGTGTCCTCTGACTGCTTATTCAAAAGAGGTACCAGGGGGGAATAACTGGAGGCCAGCGTAATATGCTACTTGTGTGGTCCTTTGTTAGATGTGAGGTTTATTGTAATTCCTTAACAAGTTTATGCCATTTGAGCATTTCTAAAACTACCCTTATCCTGTAGAAAATGCATTAGTAGGTTCTGGCAACCAAAGTAACTATCTACAACCAGAAATATTTCTGCTAGTCTCAGAATCTCAATATAATCATGTGGTTGGGTACACTCCCTTCTCTACTTGGGAGATGATCTAAGAACAGTTTATCCAAATTTACTTAATGGAAACACCTCAGGGGATGAGCTACATCCCATGATCACACTGATAATCCTAGACTAATAGCAACAGTCTCTACCCACTAAACATAATGGGTACTGACAATTATTTAATGTCTTTGCAACAAAGTTTCCCTTAAAGAGCAGAGCACACAATCTGGCCTGAGAGTTTATGCAGTTATGTTCAAATAGCCTAAGTATAATTGAGCTGTCCGAATGGAAAATTTACACTTCTTCGCAGAAATAAGACCCAGGATTTCTAGCTTCCCTACAGAGACAAATTTAGGGGCCTCAAACAACTGTCTCTTTTGTTTGTAATAATAACTTGGGGTCCATTTCAGTTACTTCTTTTTGGCAAGTTTTCACCTGCATCAGAGGCAACCTAAAACATCCAGGTTACTTACATGAATTATACTGATGAGTTGACGCATTGTCTTTGTTCAAGGAAAGTGTTTGAATAAATCACAGAAAAGTAATCACCAGGGCTTCATAGGGAAACCACAGAAGAAAAGCAATCGCCACGCTCATAGTCAAATCATGAGCATAATAAAGTGTTCTGTGCCAGTACATCAACTGTGATCCAAACTAAACCAAAGTTTCTGCCTGCTTCCCTGGATATCATAAGAATAAGTGAATTCATTTTTATTGAGGAATATTTATATAGTTCTTTCCCAGGCACTATGGCATATACTTGTGACAAAGTCTGGTCTACGGCAAAACTGGAAGCCAAAAACAGAAATAAATATGACATAATGGGGAAAAATTATGCAAAAGGGAGGTGCCAAAAAATTGCAATAGAAAGCCAGAGGGAAAAGAGTATATTCTGGATGAGAAAAGTTTTGATACAAGTGTTACCATTTGAGCTGAGCCTTATTGGGAGTTATGAATCAGACATAAAATAAGAAAAGAAGAATATTCTAGAAAGAAGCAACAGCTTGAGAGAAAGCACAGACCAAGAGAATGTGGTAAGAGAAGATGAGAGACATTGCAAAAGTATATTTGATTAGAGTAGAAAGGCACATGGTGGAAGATAACCAAAAAGACTGCTTGAGGCTCAATTTGGTGCTCCTTGAATACCATGCTACGGTCAAATAAGAGATGGGCTGTGTTCTACACATGAGATTAAAACTGTTATGTGAAACACTCAAAAAAGCTGTTAGTAATTCCAGTGATAGAGCAGACACTTTCCAGGTAGCAGAGCACATGACAGATGGCACCAGGGATGTGCTGTCTAATCTCAGATGTTTCTCCTCTTGAGAAAACACACATGTAAAATGTTAGCCTTCATTAGCCATTCGAAAGGGAGATCCAAAGTTAGCAGCAATATTTATGTCAGTAGATTCAGCTCAATTGCCTTTACGCCAACCTGACACATTATTTCGGTATTTCATTCAGGAGCAAAATAAGTTCATTATCTTTACTCGCATTGTAATTCTCATCCTTTGTTTAGATATCACTAATTGTACACCAGATATTGTGTAACATCAGGACCAGAAGCTTCTTTGATGATGATTAGATATGAATTTAAAATACTGTCATAATAGATAGTGTCTTTTTATTGTTTTCTTAATTACAGGAGACCAAGTTTAGAGACTTGTCTAAACAGTGTTCCTATCATCTTATCTCCTTCCTCACTCACCGATTAATCCTCAGTGACTCTCTGTTCTAATGATCAATTAAGATGTACTCAGTGCCCATTAAGTATCATGGAACACGGCCAGAACCAGACACTCAGTAAAGGTTTATTGAATGGATGACTGGATGAATAGGTGTGTCAGGCACAAGGAAAAACATCAGATATGTAAAATATCCCCCTTCTAGGCAAGAGTTTTATTAGAGGAAATACCACTGGTAGCAATCCAAATCACCTATAAAATGGGTTCAAATACTTCACAATCAGTTGCTAATTATACAGAAGAATGGTATCACTTGTACGCATCTCAAAGTCAATAACAGACAACTTAACGTCACTCGTCAGAGAGCAAGAACAGATTGCCTTAGTGAACTTGCTAGCTCAAGACTGCTGACTTAGAACATGCTTAAATTAAAATGTTTGGAGGATACAGAGACTCAGAACTTCTTATACTCCTTTCCACTGTGGTCACAGAAAGTCAGACTCAATCTAGTTATATTTGAGGCAAGTTGGTCAAAATACGTGTAATGTCAAATTTGGCCATATTTATTTAAAATATAACAGCGAAACACTTCATTATTGACTATCTGATGCACTCAGGAAGGACTGAGCAACTGCTTTGTGCAAAGAACTAGGGGATAACACAGGCAGATGGGACTGTTTATGATCCATTCAATAAAAGTTACAAATTTTATTTCACATAGCCTTTTTACTTAAACCCTTATTCCATATTATTCATGTTAAAATATCCATATTACTGTTCTATTTTCCTTATAAGACTGAGAGTTGTGAGGAAAAGAAACACTGATATTCTAGGACTTAAATGGAGTTACAGTGAATACTTTTATTCTTTAATTTTATAAAGTTAAGTATTTCTTAAAAAAAACTGGAATGCAAAATTTCTACGGTATAACACCTCCATGTACTTTCACAGCAGCTATCTAATTTGAAATGAGCCAACTGATCTCATTTTCTTTTCTTTCTTCATGTAGGGAAGTTGAGACAGTGAAAGAGTAAACGATGCAAGGGGAATCCTCATTTGAATTGTCCCAGTATTCCAAAGTAAACTGTTTATCTGGGAGTTACAAGGGATTCTAACGGAAGAGGGAAAGTAATACATGCAGCACATGAAGGGTGTGCCTTTAAGCCTGCTCTCCCTGTGGACACTGGCACTTATTCCTGCAGGGGCTGAAAGCTGCGCTAGAGGGGTTTAATTCTCTAGCTGAACAGCCTTCTCCTGTTCTATCTTTAAAAAAAAAAAGCTTCTCAGACACACAGAAATGCAGATCCTAGGGCTGGAAGGAGGCCAGAGCATACTGAAATTTCTGAGAAATATGGGCAAGCCATGCACAGCATCTACTAGGGAGGGTCCCACATATAATTTGCAACAGGACTAGATCTCAGATTTATGGTATCCTGAATTTCGAAGGCAAACACGTTCTTTCCTCCACATTGCCAAAATACAATGCTTTCTTAGTATGAACATATACTACTTACTGTGACTCTAGGATACAAATACCATTTTGTGTTCAAGCACACAATGAATGTAGGTCTACTAAACACCAATAACCAGCAATGTTTGAGTGCTTATTTTGTAACAGGAACTATGTCAAATACTTCATTTGTATCATCTTCATTTAATCCTCAGAACACTTCTATGAAGGAAAGGACTATTATTGCCATCCTATATTAAAGAGGTGGAAAGAAAATCAAGAAAAGCTATAGTCTAAGGGATTGCTTTTAAGTGGTGGTGTTGAGATTCAAACCCAGGGCAGTTCCACACTGGGGCCTATGTCCCTAAACATCATTCTCTACTGGCTCCATCTCTGATTGTTTTGGAGGCAGACAGTGGCTAATACAATCAATCTACAGATTCGATGATAGGAAAACTACCTGAGCATTTTAAGTCTAGTTATGGTGGTACCGATCCCTTTCATAGTCATCAAAACCAAACACTATCAATTCACATGATCAAGACAGCTCCAAAGAATGCAACATATCTATTGATTTTTAGCAAAAGCATTCTCCATGATCATTAGAGAAGATATAAATAAACTATTATATACATTTTATAAAACATGCCAACATCAAAATAAAACAGCAGATACTCTGTAAAATACAGTACCTTCACTGTCCATATTCCAGCCTCTGGCTCTTTAACATTCACCACCTTGGCAGAGTTATGAATATTTAATAGCTCATTCAGGCCAAATCCTTTTTTTATCAGCTTTCCTGAAAGACAGACATAGAGGTTACAAGCATAATCTTTATTTCAGCTATGTATATCAGCTGTGTACATTTCCAGTACAAATTACCTGATGGACATTTACACCTCTAGCTCAAAACATCGTTTTATATCTAAAATATACTCAACTTTAGCACTTCTGAACACTGTAATTGAAGTAACAGATTCCTATTTGCTATGTTGATGTGATCTTAAAAACAGAGTAACATGGAAGACGATAATCATATTTCCCAAAGTTAATCTAGGTAACTATTATTATGGCTACAAAGAAGTTATGTACAATCACTAGAGACATTTAGACTTAAGAGATGGCAAAACAGTAAACCAGAATAAATATCTTTTTGGAGATGACTCAAAATATTACTAACATTAAGAGCCCTGGGCATAACTTTGCAGAAAGTATAAAACCTCAATTTTCCATGAAGTGCAGGAGAAAGCTTTTACTTGTCAAAGGAAGAATTAGAGGAGACAGTATAATGAAGTAACACAGTATCATCTCCAACTGAGATCAATATACAGTATCTGACAGTTGGAACTTACGAAGGAAAGCAAATTTGAAATTAAGCCATAGTTTACTTATTCACTTCAGTCTTGGCTCTTGTGTGGCCTATTTCCGCAGTTACGCAAACAAATCAATTAAAAGAATCCCATATTTGCATCAGAAGTTTTATAATCACTGCAAAAGACTTTTAAAATATCAGTGTCAATGAATTTTTAAAGTAGTAGGACTTAAGGCAATGGTTACAGGTACTTCCAATCCAGATAATGAACAATACAAATCTTTCCTGTGTAGACAGGATAGATGGTACTAGAAGAACGCTACCTAAAAAGACAAATCCATTTCTACAAACAAATCTATTTTCAAGACCAAACAGTCTCAAAAAATTGGTTTTGCTTGCTCATAAATTTAAATTTGATTGTTAAGTGTGGTTGGAGCCTTAGAGGTCAATTTCATACACTATTTTCTGTAAGGTATGTCATTTTCTAAGATTCAAATAAAGTAAAAAAGGTAGTTACTCCTTCCCAATTTATAAATGTTCACAAAGGTTTAAAAAATGTAACATATAAAAATAAATGAAAAAAAAATGTAACATATACTTCAGCTACAATAGTAATAAAAATATTGTGCAAACATTATTGGTTAAAAAATTTCCTAAACATGAATACTAAGAAAAATTAGGTTTCTTTTTCTTTTTTCATTTATTTTTATTAGTTGGAGTGGTTTTTCTTTTTTTTTTTAAGATTACTATTCAATTCAACCTTAAGTCTTGCAAATTCAACCAGAGATGGAATTAAGCCAAAACTGAGAATCATACCATATAATTATTGAAGGAACAAATTAAAACATTATTCTAATGAGAATATAAATTTGTTTTTTAACAACTGTCTCCTGTAGAATTACACAAGCCCCTTTGCCATGACAAGGCTGTGATCCATGAAGGGTCACAGTGGAAAGTTCTCACAAAATGTGGTCCACTGGAGGAAGGAATCATAAACCACTTCAGTATTTTTGCCTCGAGAACCCAACAGAGTATAAAAAGACAAAAAGACACCGGAAGACAAGCCTCCCAGGTTAGAGGGTGTGCAACATGCTTCTGAAGATAAGGGAACATCTGATGCAACGATGGGCGTGATAAAAGACAGAAACAGTAAGGACCTACAGAAGCAGCAGAGATTAAGAAGAGGTGGCAAGAATACACAGAAGAATTATACAAAAAAGGTTTTAATGACCTGGATAAACACGATGGTGTGATCACTCACTTAGAGCCAGACATCCTGGAGTGTGAAGTCAAATGGGCCTCAGGAAGCATTTCCACTAACAAAGCTAGTGGAGATGATGGAATTCCAGCTGAGCTGTTTCAAATCCTAAAAGATGATGCTATAAAAGGGCTGCACTCAATATGCCAGCAAATTGGGAAAATTCAGCAGTGGCCACAGGATTGGAAAAGGTCACTTTTCATTGCAATCCCAAAGAAGGGCAATGCCAAAGAATGTTCAAACTACTGCACAATTGTGCTCATTTCACATGCTAGCAAGGTAATGCTCAAAATCTTTCAAGCTAATCTTCCATAGTATGTGAACCGAGAACTTTCATATATACAAGCTGGACTTAGAACAGGCAGAGGAAACAGAGATCAAATTGCCAACATTCATTGGATCATAGAGAAAGCAAGGGAATTCCAGAAAAACATCTACTTCTGCTTCATTGACTACACTAAAGCCTTTGACTGTGTGGATCACAACAAACTGGAAAATTCTTAAAGAGATGGGAATAGCAGAGTTTACTTGTCTCCTGAGAAACTGTCTCCTGAAGAGCAGCTAGAGTCTCCTGATGAGGGTGAAAGGAAAGAATGAAAAAAGCTGACTTAAGCTCACATTCAAAAAACTAAAATCATGGCATCCAGTCCACTTCATGACAAACAGAGGGGGAAAAAGTGGAAGCAGGGACAGATTTTATTTTCTTGGGCTCCAAAATCACTGTGGACAGTGACTGCAGCCGTGAAATTAAAAGACGCTTGCTCCTTGGAAGGAAAGCTATGACAACCTATACAGCATATTGAAGAGCAGAGCCCTCACATTGACGACAAAAGTACGTACAGTCAAAGTTATGGTTTTCCAGTAAATATGCACAGATGTGAGAGTTGGACCATAAAGAAGGCTGAGCACCAAAGAACTCATGCTTTCAAATTGTGGTGCTGGAGAAGATTCTTGAGAGTCCACTGGAATGCAAGGCTGTCAAATAAGTCGATCCTAAAGGAAATCAACCCTGAATATTCATTGGAAGGACTGACGCTGAAGCTCCTATCCTTTGGCCACCTGATGTGAAGAGCCGACTCATTGGAAAAGACCCTGATGCTGGGAAAGACTGAGGGCAGGAGGAGAAGGGGACGACAGAGGATGAGATGGTTGGATGGTATCACTGGGATAGTATCACTGAGGCAATGAACTTGAGTTTGAGCAAACCCTGGTAGATAGCGAAGAATAGGAATATCTGGTGGTAAACTGCAGTCCATGGGGTTGCAAAAAGTTGGCCACAACTTAGTGACTGAACAAGAACAACCTGTAAAATTAAAATTTATCAAGAAAATGCTATGATAAAAAATTAGACAGTTGTTTTAGTAATAAAGGACTTTTTTCATATGATTCACGTAAAAATGACAAAACACTGAATTTTACAGAATAAGTTACTGTGAAGTATTTCCTCATATAAAGATGAAGAAAATATTTCAGGTTCATCTGAAATATTTTTTTGGAGACTTCAGTTACAATTAAGTTAGTAAATGCCATCTGTTTAAATTATTAGGAGTTTCAGTTTTTCGAATCTCATGTTAACTCAATGATACTTATGACTAAAAATACTCAGTTTTAATTTTTAAACATCTTCTCCAATCACTTTTGAGTCGGTTGAATTTATTCATAAAGTTAGCATTAATTTGAACAAGTAAGTGTGTTAAAAATCTTTTACCTTTCATGGTTTTCCTATTTTTTTCATATTCTATATTTTTAAATATTTTTAATATGAATAGTCCATATATCTCACCTAAAGGATTGCGAATTTCAATCATTGGAGAAGGGCCACTCAGAGACACAGTAACCTCTTTTAGACTGGGATCAAAGGGAATTTTCCAAGTATTTACAGCCTGTTCCAAATGATCTGTTGATAAGAGGTGAACTTTGGAAGCCTGCACTGCTTCTTCCACCCATTTTAAAACCTATAAGAAAAAGAGAAATATGAGTGATATCAAAATATTTACAGCTTTATACCACCTCGAATTGCTGAAGCAGTAGCTGATTTGCTTAATGAAATGACATGGTCGCTTTCTGTACTGTATGAGGCTTATTTCCATCACAATCAAGACAAACTTTCTCAATCCACAGAACAGGAAAAATGCACTCCCCAGGGGATTAGTCTCCAAAAGTTTCAAACAGCTCATGCAGCTCAATATATAAAAATAAATAAATAAATAACCCAATTGGAAAATGCACAAAATACCTGAATAAACATTTTTGCAAAGAAGACATACAGATGGCCAAGAGGCACATGAAAAGAGGCATATGCTCAACAATGCTAACTATTTGAGGAACACAAATCAAAACCACAATGAGATATCACCTCACACCAGTCAAAATGGCCATCATCAAAAAAATCTATAAACAATTAATGCTGGAGTGGATGTGGAGAAAAGTGAACCCTCCTACACTGTTGGTGGGAATGTAAATTGGTACAGCCACTATGGAGAACAGTATGGAAGTTTCTTAAAAAGAATCCCACTCCTGGGTATATATCCACAGAAAAACATGGTTTGAAAGGATAGACATACCCCAATGTTAAAGGCACCATTATTTACAATAGCTAAGACATGAAAATGTCCATCAACAGAAGATGTGGTAAAAACACAGCCATAAAAAAGAATGAAATAATACCATTTGCAGCAACACAGATGGACATGGAGATTATCATACTAAGTGAAGTTAAGTCAGAGAAAGACATATATCATATGATATGACTTATATGTGGAATCTCTAAAAAATGATACAAATGAACTTATTTATAAAACAGAAACATATTTAATACTTAGAGAATGAATTTATGGTTACCTGGGGGCAGGGGGAAAAGGGGAAGGAACAGATGAGAGTTTGGAATTGACATGTACACACTGCTATATTTTTTCTAAAGCCTAACTCTCCCTATATCCACTTATTATAGCAGGTTCAGAATAAAATATTAGTTTAACCCATGCTCAAATTTCAAATTTTATATCTTGGAGTAATATATTCAAAATGAGATTACAGTGTCCAAAAACTAGTTGTGCAAGATATTACATGCATAGGTACTACAGACAGTTCCATTCCTCAACAGAAATGAAAAGAATCTACAGAAAACTAGGTAATGGCAATACTGAGATTCTTCTTCCCTCTATTCTTTCAAAGTTCAATTAATAAAAGACAATAAGCAAATTATCAAATCTAATTTCAATATATTGAGTACTGAATTATTGTAATAGAGTACACTATAGTATATTAATTATTGAAAAATAATTGCAATGCCAGCAAAATATTCATTTTTCTGATAAAAAATAACAAAAAAGTAATGGGAAAGATAACCATTATGTTTTTTAAAGTGGAAAAATACTTCAGGTTAGAACTAAGTTAAGGTGTGCTCTTGAAGGAAGCCTTCTAGTCCACAGAAATGCTCCGCAACAGCAAACACAATTCCTCATTTTACAGGGCATGTCTGGACAGGTACTGCTTAGCTGAACTTACTACCATTACTCCTAGATCATATTAAGCTTTAATCCACCTAAGATCTTCCTCTGGTTCATTTATCCTTCAAGACGGTATTCCATCATGAACAATTTCCCTCATAATTACTCAGTAAACACTGAACAGTACTGGGTATTAAGCTACACCAAGCTACTCCAACAACAGTATTTTTAAAATTTCAATGGTAGTCACAAACCAATGAATCAAACAAAAGTATTGTGTAATAATTTCAATCTCTGTCAAAAGGATCCCCATCTTTTTTTTTTGGTCCCCAAGAATGAGGAAAGTGGCTAAGACATTATCATAAAATTAACAGTGTGAGGCAATTATGTTTATTCATTAAATAAATGTTCATTGTTCGAAGAACTCTTGTAGGTACTGAGTACTGATGAAAATGAATGAAATTGATGAACATGAATGAAATTGATGAAAGTGGAGTTGCTCAGTCATGTCCAACTCTTTGTGACCCCAAGGACTGTAGCCCACCAGGCTCCTCCATCCATGGAATTTTCCACACAAGAATACTGGAGTGGGTTGCCATTTCCTTCTCCAGGGGATCATCCCAACCCAGGGATCAAACCCAGGTCTCCCGCACTGCAGGCAGACTCTTTACCATCTGAACCACAAGAGAAGGAAATGCTGGACTAGAGGAAGCACAAGCTGGGATCAAGATTTCCAGGAGAAATATCAATAACCACAGATATGCAGATGCCACTCTTATGGCAGAAGGAGAAGAAGAACTAAGAGCCTCTTGATGAAAGTGAAAGAGGAGAGTGAAAAAGTTGGCTTAAAACTCAATATTCAAAAATGAACATCAAGGCATCTGGTTCCATCACTTCATGGCAAATAGATGGGGAAACAGTGAGAGACTTTATTTTCTTGGGCACCAAAATCATTGCAGATTGGTGACTGCAGCCACGAAATTTAAAGATGTTTGCTCCCTGGAAGAAAAGCTATGACCAACTTAGACAGTATTTTAAAAAGCAGAGACATTACTTTGCCAACAAAGGACCACATAGTCAAAGCTATGGTTTTTCCAGTAGTCATGTATGGATGTGACAGCAAGACCATAAAGAAAGCTGAGCGCCAAAGAATTGATGCTTTTGAACTGCGGTGTTAGAGAAGACTCTTGAGAGTCCCTTGGACTTCAAGGAGATCAAACCAATCAATCCTAAGGGAAATCAGTTCTGAATATTCATTGGAAGGACTGATGCTGAAGTTCCAATACTTTGACTACCTGATGTGAAGAATGGACTCACTAGAAAAGACCCTGATGCTGGGAAAGGTTGAAGGCAGGAGAAGAAGGGAACGCCAGAGGATGATATGGTTGGATGTCATCACCAACTTGATGGACATGAGTTTGAGCAAGCTCCGGGAGTTGGTGGACAAGGAAGGCTGGCGTGCTTCAGTGCACGGGGTCGCAAAGAGTTGGACATGACTGAGCAACTAAACTGAACTTCTTAAATAAAGAAAGGAATTCATAAAACAGGAAGCCTTTGTTGAAATAACATATGTAAACTGCCCATCACAGTCCTTGCCACACACTGGATAGTCAAATGTTTTCCTCCATCTCCAACTGAATCCCCTTCCCTTCCCTTCCCCTAATTGAAAATTTCAATAATGACTTCATGGGCAAAGTGAGAAAAAAATGTATCCCTGAAAGACAAGATTTCTGTAAATGAAAAACAGACACAAAGTCACTCCAGGTAGAAGAGAAGTTCTGAAAAACATACAGAGACAGAAGTACTCATATGTTGGGAACATGAGTGCATCTAACTGGCTACAGTTAAGTGTTCAGAAAAGCGAGAAGCAGATGAGGTTGGAAGCTTATGTCAGGGGCAGTGTATGTATGGTCACAAAGTCAAGCTATGACAATCGGATTCTATCCTAATGACATAAGTGAAAAGTTTCCGAAGGAATTCCTGCTTTAAGCAGAGAAGTAATACTTTGACAGAAGTATTTTACAAAGAAAAGCTTGTAGTGGTATCATCAACTAACTAAGCACAAAAAAACAAGTCTATCACAGTTAATTACCGCATAAATCAAATGATATATTTCCTCAGATGTTAACCATATAAAGCACCTGGGATTTTACATATGAGATAGGTATGTATCGATACCATTACTTAAAGAAGCAGATGCCATATTTTGAAAAATGGGTTCTGAGTGATCTATCATGCATGAACAGGAAGATATGAATCATTCTGCCAATCAAATCGGTCCATGTGGCTATAGAAACCAGAGACTGATTATTGCTAATATTTGACCATAAATAGAACACATATTTTAAAAGTCAGTGTTGACATTTTTATGTCTTCAACATGGATCATGGCCGCCTAACTCAAAGGAATGCAAAGAACTGACTTACTCTCTGAGAAAGCACTTGATAAATTTTACTGGTGATAAATAACTTTGAGAATAATGTCTGACTTACAGACTAAAGAAGGCAAAGACAAGAGAAATCAGATAAATGGAATGAACATTTGTTTTAAGGACAAGACACAAAATGTGGTCATAAATAATTCTCAAAGTAAGAAAGAAAAGAATTAGAAAACAAAGATATTTTAGTATCTCAAGTTCAACAATGAAATGCAATAGTGTTGAGCAGAAATAAAAGTGAAATCAATTTTTAATATAGTACACCTTTCTTTAGATGTTTATTCTGCATGACTCCTCAAATACATCTGTCCTTTGAAACGAACGTAAAAAGGTTATGATATATCACTGGAAAATTATACTACTGTCTGTTAGTTATGGATGAAAAGGACTAAGTTCTAGGCATTCCTGCGAAAATGGAAAACTTTCTGATTTAGTTGCCTTTTCATACAGGAACTGTGTTTAAATGGTAGGAAATATAAGTGGGCTTTTGGTTTATTCTTAATACTGTTTCCAATTCATCAACATTTATGAGGCTTTCACAAACAGATTACCATGTATCATGATATTACTGGTTGGGAAAGATACAGTGCAGACTTCTGTCACAAGTCTCAAATCACTTTTTTATACAATTATAGGAAAAAAATCAAATTGAAGACAGATGCAACCCACTTTATTAGAAAATACAGATATCACCAACATGTGAATAAAAGCAGATTCCTACAAGCTACACAATCACCGAAAGTGAGGTTTCTGGCCTCTAATGTTGCCACATATAAGGAAAAAGAAACAAAACTGTCTAACCATGAGAAATGTTCTTATGAGATTGGAAAGGACCTTAAATAGTAACAATAAAAAGAAGTGAACTAGAATAATGTGAGATCCTGTGAATGAGTACATTTTTGCTAAACCATTGGTTTAATGTTTCAAACCACTGAGGCACTGTGCATTAGTAAAAATAGTCTCTAATGATTTTTAGCAGTTTAAATCTCAGAAGGCCTGTGAGAACATCTAACCCAGCTCCTTTACTTTATAAATGAGGGAAACTAATATGTGAGTTCCTGAACCTTTC